TGCCTGTTTCTTAAAGAAAGAATAGCAACCTCAAGTGGTACCTTAAGCTCGGGAATTCAAACAGAAATGACATCCTGCACATGGCGACCGTTTCAGTCATGAATTAGGATGATCATTAATATTGTTGCATGTTGTGTTAAGCTTTGTTACAAAAGTGGAGTATTTGCTACTAAAGTTGGTTATGACTGAATTGGCCAGAAGCCTTAAGGTAAGGTAAAGGTTCCCCTCGGACATACATGCTAGCCGTTCCCGACTCTAGATGGCAGTGCTCATCTCCTTTTCTACGCCGAAGAGCCAGCACTGTCAAATAACAATTCCATGGTCATGTGGCCAGCGTGGCTAAATGCCAAAGCCACATGTAATACTGTTACCTCCCCACCAAGGTGGTCCCTATTTTTCTACTTGCATTTTTACATGCTTTCGAACTGCTAGGTTGGCAAGTAATGGGAGCTCATGACTCTAGGGATTCAAATCGCCGAACTGCCAACCTTTCTGATCAACCGTGTCCCCCCAGAAATCTTAGCAATAAATAAAGTTTCCTAGTGGCCTTGAGTCTAGGGTGGCACATAAATTTGAGAAATAAATATGCAAGGGATGCATGTATTTTAAAACTGTGCTGTTCTGGAAGTAGCCACTAATGGATTTTTTTTTGGCTTTCATTAATTTATTTAATTCTATTTTTAAGACCATAATCATCATTTTGTTGGGTGAGTCTGGGCCTGCTAGAACAACTAATAGTTTGGTGTCAACTTATTTAATACTTTCTCATTTTACAGGAGTGTATCTAATTCTTGACTAGCAACAATGAACAGTCCGAAATTTTAGTTACACTTCCCCAGGCATCACTATGAACTGACTGCACTATGGTGGAGGTGCAGATGATCCTGTTGGATTCATCCAAACTTTATCTCCCTGCAATAAAGTTTTCTAAAATTTGATATATGATTAAAAAATATTCAAATATTCAAGCACACAAGGATAAGGTTCCTCTATGTATTCAGAGATTCCCCTATGTAGAACAATCCATATTTAGAAACAATTAAATGTAACACAGAGGGAAATGTGCAAAAACATCTTGAGCTGATTAAAGTCACTTTTATTGGCTGTTTTTCCCTATTATGCCTCCATTAGTTTTAACTGACAGTGTATCACCATCTAGTGGCTCTATATCGGCATTTCCCCTACAAGGAACAGATTGCAGCCATTCCAAACAAATTAACATGGTTTCAAGTGTGTGCTTTCAATTTTGGAATCCATATAAGTGACTCTCCTAAGCAATATTTATCTTGTCTCTGTGCTGTCTGCTATCATCACCCGTAAGATTGTTAGTAAAATAGCAAAGGATGCTTTCGCAAAGAGAAACAGGCAACATTTGAAAACATTTGAAACTTGTACTTGGAAACGGCATGTAACTCTCAGTTAATTATCTTCCACATACACTGTACGCACTATGCATATTAATTCCCAACTAATTATTCCAGACTCATCTCCATTCTCATCCTTTGACAGCATCATTTGTACTCTTACAAAAGTGGGAGAAAAGGCATTTCCCAGCATTTTATATCAGCCTAACTGAATCTGATTACTGTTCAATGAGATGGATGATTTGCTGCTGTTAGTAGGGGCAACATGTTTTCTTCCATTAAAGGAGAAGGAGGAGCCTTCCCTGCCACTACATGCTTTGATAATATTGCTGTCTGCAGCTCTGGGTTCTTTCACATTGGACACAACGTCTAAAGTGAAGTAGCTGGTGACCTGTCTCACTGTTTTAATTTCTTCAAGGCCCTGAACTGTGATTTGATGGGAAATAACTTGGAGATTGAAAAAAAGTTTCTGTGGCTGGACTGGGAAATAATCCAAATATAATACGCTACGCTATACTACGATACAACACAACTCCAGTACAAGCAAAACAAACAAACAAACCAGCAGGCAATATCAAAAGGTTCCTTAGTGGTGCTAAGAAAATGCTATGGATGAAAACACGAGGAATTGAAGGAATTTGCCTTTTTTCTTTTAGTTTTATCAGTTCTACATTCAAAAATAAATTTGAAGGGGTCGAGGGAGAGAGGGACCTGTATAATTGGTAACATCAATTTCTCAGAATGATACATGCTGGGATATAAGAAATCAAGAATGTATTAATGAGAAAACTATTTTTCTTTTTAAAGAGTACCCTTTTTCTTGTTTATTTGCCATACAAAATCTCTGTTCATGATCTCATGGCAGGTTGAAGCTGTTGAAATTTCTAGTCTCCCAAGGCAATTCGTGTCTTAAGACACATTGAGTCATTTACATATAGGGATGCATTTTATATATCAATTTCTCTGTAGCTTTTAATGGAAACCTTTACAAATTATGAAGCCACCCCTCCCTGTAAATCACAACCACCACCACCAATTCAGTTTAATCTTTGAATGCCTTATGTATGGAATATCTTTATTTAACTAGNCTCCAAATGCCTTGGGTAATAGGTCATTTCCCATAACTCCTAATCAGCAGAACCTCTAATCTTCACCATTTTTAGTTTGGAATGGTGAGATAAGAAACAAATAGGCAACAACACTGTGTTTATTTAAATAATAAATAATTGAAAGTAACATATGAGATGTGATATAACTATGCCAAACTATATTTGCACAATGGTAGCAAAATGATTAGAATGCAGTATTGCAGGCAAACTCTGCCCACAGCCTGAAATTTGTACTTTTGGGTAATAAAATGAATACCATGTAGTTCTAGATTACTAGTAAGGAATATTCTCACCTTAACAGGATTATAGCCAAGATCAAGAGCTTTGTGAATTCCTTCCATTACTTTGTGGAATCCTAAAACATCAGAATGCAATTATTCAAAAAAAGTTGAGCAAAATGTTTTATAAATACACATAAACTGAATCCACAATACTAATATATAAATTTATAAAATTTACAATAAATGTATACATTTATTTTTGCATTCTTTTAAACATTAATTCACGACTCTCAAACACATTTGAGTAAAAGCTTCTTTTTGTATGTAAAACAAATGAAATATAATAACACAATGTGCTTTTGGAACAATTCTAAATACTTTTCTGTAAGAGTAGTCACAATGGGCTTTAGATATACATAACATTATGCTGAGTGTGTTTTCAAATGTAGATAGAAACCCAAATCAAGACTTTTCACAAATTTTCACCATCTCTCCAATCATGTTAATATAAGAAAAGTTTATTCAAGAGGAATATAAAGTACTTTATGTAATCCCCAAATATTTGGAAAAGAAAAATACATTGTTATTCCATGAAAGAAGAGGAGTGTGATGGGCAGTCATGAGGATTAAATAACATGGACTACCATAATTGTTTGATGTAAAAACGTGTTTGTTATTTCTCTATCCTGCTACTATGAAAACCTCTGACTTCAGTTGCAAAGGTTTACTCAAATAAAATAAGCTTGCAGACTAAACATGACATCGGGGAGCATAACATACAGTGAGAACACTGGAGTTACTGTATTCAGGAATCTGTTCTACTTGTAGAAAGGCCTGGAAGGAAATCAAAAAGAAGAGAACTTCCGTGCAACTTAAAGGAATATCGGGCAATCTAAGGAAACACTAGCCAAAAAGAAGCATCAATATTTTTTTTGGATAAATGCATCAGACCTTTTTACTAGTGATTTAGATCAAATCCACTCTGTCACACACCAATGTGATATTTCTATAGTGGCAATATCTAGGCAATATGAAACCTGCCTACTTTAGATTTTCCTGCCCCAAGCAGTATCAGTCCATCTAATTGCCTACCCTGAGAAGAAATCACCCTCAAAAGGTGAACCCAGGCCCTCTCTGATCCTCCCTTCTCCTATGGAACAGAATTCCTCTTGAAGATAGAGTGGCTCAAAACTTTTTGGAATTCAGGAATTATATCAAGAAAGCCTGTAGGAATTCAAACAGAAATGACATCCTGCACATGGCGACTGTTTCAGTCATGAATTAGGATGATCATTAATATTGTTGCATGTTGTGTTAAGCTTTGTTACAAAAGTGGAGTATTTGCTACTAAAGTTGGTTATGACTGAATTGGCCAGAAGCCTTAAGGTAANTGCAGCTTTATCTACCAGATGAAGCTCTCCAGGTTACCCTGTAACTTCATCTCTACCTAGCTAGGAACAAGTCTCCTTAAAAAAAATATCCCTGAACAGCTATCTGCAGCTGCGATAAAATGCCAACCTTATCACCATGATGCAATCTCTAATATGTGTTTTTATGTTCAGTTGGGTTCATTTGTTGTCTTCTTCCCAACTGCTCTTTTAGTATCTCTTTTGACATTTCATCTTCTCAGACAACTAAGGAGTTCCCTAGGATTGACTCCCAGTAAGACACCATATAGGAATAATCCAATCCAACCCAACTCCTTTGACAGAAAGGAAGTGGCCAATTGCTCCATCAAGCCACCCATCAGATCCTCAGGAAAAGACCTCAATCTCCTCCTGAAACCCTATAGGATGGACTCATCTAATAACTGTATTCACCTGTGGCATCCAAGGGTAACTTCAGCATGCCTAAACTCAATCAGAGATTAATGGAATGGGCTAATTCTGAGTTTTATAGAAGTATCTTAGGCTCAACCCATTTTATACTTAAAATAGCTGTTTCACCCTTGAAAATGGTGTTTCATATTAAGTATCATTCAAATTCTACTAATTTTACACACTCCTAATAGTTGTGAATTAGATGGGTTATGGGGAAAGTTTAGGACACTAACAAGAAATTCTGTAAATGCTTTTACAGAATGAAATGTTACTATGAGGTTAAAAGTCACCAGTAAAAATATTCATGTATCAATACTATGCTGGAAATCAATTATTGAATTTGGGATTTTATTATTCCTTCAATATGTATATATATTATCTTTATGATAAAGAACAGACACTAGCATTGTAAAGATTCTTATCTTCTTACCAACAATTTCCTGTTAAAGTTATTTCTACAGAGGTCTTACATGCTAGATGGAAAAATCCATGACAACATTTTAATGATATGTGTTTAGATGAAGGCTATTTTAAAATTCTTACGTGCTGCATACTTCTCTGTTAGAAACATTATGCAAATCATGTACAAATCACATGTATTATGGAACACATTTATATTATAAACACAACAGTAGTTGTCATGGATATAATTGCAAATTGACCAAAATTCCCAGACACAATACCTCATGCATAGTCTACATAAAAAGCAAGCACAGAATAGTTTATGTATAGTAGATAATACCAGAAATTTATCACAAGACAATTAGGAAGGTAATGGTACATAAATCTACTCTAAAAACTGAGGAAATACTTAAATAACTGCAGCTTAGAAAGCATTATTTCTAGTTAGAAATAGTCTTCTCTCTCTGTCTCTGTCTCTTTCTCTGACACATACAGTGTGCAAATCATTATTTCTAG